AAAACATCAGAAGACAACAACCGCTAGAGAATCAATGTAAGGGCAAGTATGATGAGAATTGCCGTACAGGAATCAGCGTAACAATGAGAAAGATGATGTCAGCTCCCTAATTTGTCGCTCTCCTCAACTCTATGGACACTTTTCATGCTTTTTTGGCCATAAGCTTTTTCTTCAGCCACATTATGCTAACTGAGCTTAAAAAGCACAGTTCAGAATAATTTTGTGGTACCCCTTTTTATTCAGAAAGCGGAAGTATAGATTGGGATAGTTCATCGGTAGTGAAGAAAGTGAGAGAATTCTCTGATTTTGTGAAAAATGAGGGTCCTCAAAATTAGCGAAAATAGAGTTTGGACGAGATTCCCATGACGGAAAGGACACGGAAGAGGTATTCGGACGAGATTCCAGTCATTGCAATTGCGTCAAGAGCTGACTACATCAAGCCGGAACTGTTCAGAACTGCCTTTCACTGCCGTTATGGCAAAATGTGTGAACTTCCTGGATGGGCTCCCTTGTGATCGGTGCAGCCTCTAAAATGGCGGTAAAACTCGTCCGAGAATACACAGGATACAATCTTTGAGCCTTTATACCGCCCTAATTGGACCGTTTTCCGACCTGATAGCGCCAGATATGGTATTCGAGGAAGTATACTTCTATCGGTAGTTCTACTTTATGAGCCCCTTAGACTTCGCCTTTCTTTCCATCTCCACCCGAACCTCGGAGAATAAATGTCAGGAACCTCCGAGAATAAAAAGTCAGTGGTTGACCTTTTCTCAGACTACGAATGTTTTGATGTAGAGATCCTTTTCCCTAGACTCATCCCTAGGCTCCCTTCAACATCTTCGAAAGCTGTTTCATTCCACGATGTCTTTCAGTAAACTATGCAGTGATGAACAAGAAGCAGTTGATAGGATTATGTACAGGACACATGCGGTCAGCGAGTCACACTTGAGAAATCAGGAAGCTCAAAACAAGAAACAAATGAACTGCGACGAGTCCAGAACAGGAATGTCTTTTCATCCTTTTAGGCTCCAGAAGGACTGAACCCAGCCTATGTGTTCCCAATAAGTGTCTACAAGAACGTTCATACCCATATCAGTGCAAGTCTCAGATAGCTTTGTCTAGGAAAACCAGAACCAGAGATACCCAAGCATACTTCAACGAAAAAAAAAACCGAAAAGACCCAAAGCATAGAAAAGGATACATTGGATGGCAACCAATGGAAGCAAAGGAGAATTTGTGAATTCAGGATTACTCGTAGGTGAACAAATAATGACGGCGTTACCAAAAAATAAAGATTCCGAGAACTAAGAAAACATCAAAGGGAAAGAAAGAAAACATTAGAGACACGGGTCAGACATTGCCAGCTTCCGTTGAACTCACGATTGTCTCAAAGTGCATGCCTTAGTCAGCATTACTTCAGTAGTACGCATAGAGCGAGAGAATGATATAAAAAAGGGACTAAGGATAAAGTTTTACGTCTAAGGGATGCGGCTTCGCATTCGACCTCAATTCGGAATCTTAGTGGCATAATGAATACTCATGTGGCCTCTGGTGACCACCGCATGAATTGCGTTGGCCAGCCTATGTTCAAGTCAGTGTTTATATCCTCCCAGACGAGTTTAATGCCGTTCAATCGACTCCGAAGGTATGGAATGCTGAGTTGGCCCAAGCGGACATTGGTCCGAGATTCGAACCCGTGACCATGCGTGTCAGATAGTGCTCGTGCACTTCTCCCTACACCACCTCGTCCCTTCAAGGAAATTAGGCATTTTCATAGACTGGACCTCCCGTATCCATGGTGTTAGGCAATGACAAAATCTGAGGGTGGACGACAATCGAACAGACTGGAACAATAAACGAAGAGAAACGTACCCATTGGGAGAATCGCGGTTGTTTCGGAGCGTACTTGACAATCTTCTGCGCGGGATCCAGGAAGAAATACTCATGCCTCGGTTGATCTCCACCTACAATGTGAAACTGTTTCTCAGAGAAAAATACAGGATTTGTTGCAAGGACATCAAGTGTAAACAATATGTAAACATCGTAAGAACACGTGATGAAGGAGTAAAATATAAATATAAAATTACGCAAAATGAATGCCCACCAAAAAAGAAGTAGGAATAATTGGATCATCTGAGAACTACGTACCGATTCCTTCAGTAGGTTGACGCAGAGCGAGTCCAAACAATTTGTCCTCAGTAATCTCCAGGATTTCCCCACACTTCCACAAAACGTCGTGAACCTTTGTTTTTTGCTGAAATGTGGCCAATAGACAAACAAAGAGAACTATGTAAATGGAAAAAACGAACGAACGTTCACAACGATGACGAGATTCTCTTTGGTGAGCGTTTGAACAGTGACGTATGTTTGGCCAGGTCGAACACTATGCACGGACGGACTAACTACGGCTGGACCTGAAAGGATTGGCCATGTCCGGGTAGGGTGAACTCCAAATTGAAGTGACTGGCATTACAAAGGGCATATATTTACCAGAATTACTCGACGACGGTTGTTGCAAGTGAAGTGGCAGGCGTAACCCTGCCGCTGAACGTGATCGGCTCGACCCTGGTGTCGAGCAGGATGATTCCATTACCTGGAGATTTCAAATTCAAAGATAAGTATTGAAAGCGAACAAGAGCTAAATGGGCGAGAAATAAATTGACGAAGAAGCGAACAATGCGACAAGAATTGTTCAATGAACAAAAGAACAGTTCATAGCAAGCATTCTTGGACAAGCCTAGCGCTGCATTCCCGTAAGCCAAAAGGTCACCGAACCACTCCACCTATAGAGGAGTCGAAGTTTTCACGGGTTTTTTCAAACTGTAAGGAAGCGTTCTGAAAAAAGAACAAATGTCAATGTTGGTCGCTTGCTTGTTGCTGAATGATTGCTAAAGAGGCCTACTACTTGTAGAGGTCATTGCGAGGCCCTTCGAAAGGCACAATACAGCCCTCTTACAGAAAATACAAACAATCCCACAAGACGTTCTACATTTGCTACACAACAACCCCTTCTTTCTGAGATTTGGGAAGCAGGAAAAATAGGTTCCACGTTCGATTCTAGAGGAACCCCAAAGGAGAAGCATTACAGACATCGGAATCCTTTCTTGCTTATGAAGCTTACTTCTGTCCGCCCTAGCACTGGATCCAAACTTGGCATTGAAGTCTGAAGCAACCGGCTCTGGCGTTATCACTCAACATTTTCATATCACACCAACATTCCAAGCTTCTTCAAAAGGACATAAGCTGCGGAATTTGAAGCTCCGATTTTTTTTTTGACTTGGATTATCACAATTTATGAAGGCCCCAGAACCCACAAAGTCTAAGGGAGACTTGGATGTTTAAGAATTTACAGGGTTTTGTAGAATCGGAAGCCATTCCTTTTCGAAAGATTTTTTTCCAAGAACAAACGTTCAGTATTGGGTCCGACTCTGGACCCAATACTGAACGTTTGTTGTTTGTAAGCTTTGGTTACTACCTTTGCTGCCTTTATGGACCAATCCGTTTAAAAACTTATACCCATGGAATTTAGACTTTTCCTGGGAGGCTTCTGAATTTTTGAAAAATTAATGGCGCACTCCACAACAAACTCATCGTAGCCTTTTTGTAGTCAGTGGAAATGTTGAGTGGTTTCAAGAATAGCACTTTAGCAGCCTATCGGGTGGTTTCGAGCGCCACGCAGTCACAGAGACGGCCAACTGCATATTCCATAGCTTGCTTGGATCCTCGATCAGATCCAGTCCAACAGCACTAGGAAAACGTCGACACAAATTGGAAACATGATGAGAAGGTCCCGCTAGAGCTGCTGAATAGGCCACAACCTTACCGATTTTCAAAGCTTCACCTTCGAAAGATGTGCTCTGAATTTAAGCAGTACGATCAGATCAAGAGACCGAAAATTTCTGAAGAAACGGAAGAAAAATTCCTGAAAGAAGCAAGAAGTGAAAGGTGCTCCAGCTAAGATTCAGCTATGGCAACTGAAGGAAGCCTAGAGTACAGTGGGTTTTGTTAATGCTCTCGCCACTCACTGCTTCGATAAGGGTCTGACAGAGATCAGACATCGATGTCTCTTGCAAGTGCAGGGTAACAAAACATCTTTCCTGATTAAGCTAATTCGTCACAAGGACAGAAGATGAACTGTACGCTTTCCAACCTCTCAAGATGAGCCACGTATCCCACTTCGACTTATTTAACAGAGGAACTTAGGGCCATATCGTGGAAGGCGAACTTAGGGCCATATCGTGGAAGGCAATGTTCAATTCAATGGTGATCACAAAGCACCGACGCCAAGAAAAGTCTGATAGAACTTAACTGAGCTGATCGGCGGACTATACGTTTAGCAGTGAAGGTTAGAACACCTCCAATTGCTCTGAGTTGGTTTCACCTGATTTATAACTACAGCTGACTATTTTTTGAAATCCTTCTCCTAGAATATGGTCTTGGCTTACCGAAGAAATGTTTCTAGCTATGAGAGATGTGACCCATTTTGAGCCGAGGTGGAAGCATTTTGAGCCACCCACCGTTTCTCGAAGCAATCCCATCCGTTAGAGGAACGAATGACCCTTGCTTGCCTGCCGAGTCAGCATGCAGCAAAGCGATGAATAGTTAGGAGTTGGTAACTTCCCTCCGTCTTTTTCAAACAGACGGTCCCTTCATGAATACTTCACTCAGGGAACTGAGGCGGGTGGGCTGCCCATGGAAAAATATCCAGTTGTGTAATTTTCGCTGTATGCTTCACATAATCGTTGTCCTTTCTGTCTTTCTGTAGTAGAAGGACTGATGGTGTTCCTAGCCCTACATTAACAACTTCCCAAGTCTCCCCTACAAAGTTTCCTCTCCCTTCTAACATTCCATAATGTTAACAAACATTCTTCTACAAGAGCGCTGCTAATCTGCACGTTTTGGGATCGAAAGCGGAAAGTGCCAAATGGCGCATAACCAAACGCACGGCTCAGAAATCCCGGATCCCTGTCCCAGTCAACCGAACATTTAACCCTTCCGCGGTCTCTTGAATTCTGGTAGCACAATTTGCAAAACTATTTTCTTGTATACATCAGATTTGTATTCAAAACAACCTTATGACTAAAAATGGAAATCAGAGGCGTAAGCGCATCATAGAACGGAATTGACCAGCGCAAAAATCATTCTTTTTCTGACGGCAAAATCGGAAAGCCACGTAGATTGTGCTCAGAACCCCAGTAATACCTTTACTTCCTAGCCATCTCTTCAGCGTATCTTCAACGTATTATTCTTTCATTTCTCTCGAACCTTCTCATTTGATGACCGTAATGAAGCACTGCTAACAATCATCACGGCAAAAAGGAGGGTGATATTGGAGCACGAGCACTTTCCTTCTTTCCAAGAAAGGTATTTAGAAAACATGGAAAAGGGGAAGCTCGGAAACAATGAGTAAGCCCTGATTACGCCTTTGCAACGGAAACTCAGTAATGAAACAGTTGAGCAAGTAAGGACGCAAGACAAGAGCTTAAGAACACTCTTTGACAGAATACGACTTCAGCCCATGAGATGAAGTATTCATGCCTTCTTGTCCGCTTCATTACAGGCTGTGGGAGTTTACCTGTACCTGAGGTTTTCAGGCTGAGGTGGTGCGAAGCCAAACGATAGCGCCTCTGAATAACCACTTTCTCTGAGGACGATAACCTGCGAGGGGGTTTTCACCTTGCTGTCATCCATCAAATCGTTCCTTGAGCATATACAATCAAAGTTATTAAATATTTCATAAATGACCTTTTATAGCTTTTATCTACAGCTTCGCGAACCCCTCGGGTCTTCGATAGCTATCCGTCCGATTCCAAATTAACATTGAAATTAATTAGACTGAAAAGGTAAATTATCCAGTTTTAGTTTTGTAAGCGATGAATTTCCATTTCGAGTGAATCGGAGAGATTTGAAGTTGAAGATCTGAATATCTTACGGAGAAAATCAATTTATCAGAAAGCAATCGGAATCAGGTTTTCGTGAAGGCCAGGCGATCTCGACGGGGATCGATAGCAAAACGCCAAAACGACGAACATGATCGGTAACTATCATGTGACTTTAAGCGATCGTCATGATCACTTGTAACGATAACAAGCGCTTCAAATCAGCAAATACATGAGAATCGACGTGGCCAGAAGGTCGTCGCCACTGTTAACAAAGAAATTTTGTTGTAGGTCGTGAAAAAATAGACCTTGAAATACGAACAAAGCACAATGCTTGCCACTCTATCACCAGTCGTAGACAACATCGGCAACATGGACATAAGGGCGCCTTTTAGACTACCTGGTAGGATAAAGACGTCAGGCAGTACAATACCCTAATACGATCCCGAACGGAAGTCGAATTACAAAGTCACCTTTCTTACTATGACAAAAGACAACGAGAACCTACGTAAAGGAGGTCTGTAAGAGCGGGGTCCTGAGGAGAATGTTCAGAAATAGACTCTCAATTTCTGAATGGCTCGACTTGGAATGGACAAGCAGCACCGTGGTATTTGGGGGTGAATGTTTCTTGCCTGATGCTTGAGAATGACCGGGAAATTCAGTTTTCCTCCGAAGATTTTCACCTTCAGTTATCGATTATGGCAACGGTTATGGCTTTAGTGGATAAACAGCATCCACATACATCTGTGTAGGGTGGAGTAAATAAGGAAGGGTCCACCTTCAGACAATGAAGCAACTAATGTGTTTCACAAATTGTAAAGGTTGAACCAATCCTAATCCCTATTATTTTGAGAACCGTCGACAAGTTCTTTGGCTGGATTCCATGTTCCTTTTTCTACAAAACGGAAAAATCGAAAGAGCGGAGTGTAGCTAATATAGTGCTTACACTGCTTCTAATTTTTTTCACAAGCTCCGATCCTTTCATTTGTTGCCGCAGTATGACTTCAATGATTCAAAGGATCGGAGTTTTAAAGAAGTTAGCTGGTGGTGTAACCTTAAATAGATTTGAACAGCTACCGCATTAAGGTGCTTTTTACGGCAGTTATGAAAGTATTTATTTGAGATGAAGGTGCTAGTGACAATTGGCGCATCATATTCCTGGCCTGGTCCGATGTCGGATCCCGGATCGGTTTTCGCTCAAGCTATCCAAGCCTCCCTTCTCTCCGGGCTAAGCAGATTGATACCAGGTCATCAGGGAGGATATTCATCATCAGGGGGAATATCAGGGCACGGGTGACCACACGCACACTATGTAAGGATGAATGCTCATTTAGATGTAATTTCTATGAAAGGAGCCCGAAGGCCCCAGCCTCCCACAAGAGAAAACCTTTTCTTCATGAAAACCAAGATGGTGAGATGCTCATAGTGCTTAGCTCAACCTCTTCGAATCTGGGAAGTGTACTCCACCGCTGCTGCTCCGAAGCAGTGATAAGCTGGCGCACAACTCTGGTTTTTTTGTTTATTTTTTCTCGCTAACTAAGGGCAGCTCGAAAAGCAGAGGCTCAGTGCGGCTTGTATCAAGCAGAAAGTGGATTTACGTAGTCAGGGCCCTGTTGGGGAGAAAATTGATCAAAAACTAGCACTCAGAGTGAGAGCTCGTCTGACTCAAAAGCTGAACCGTACACACAAACGTACAGCCTCAATAGAGTCA